AGGTGGCTTAGGAGAGCAAATGTTAGCTTAAAGAACATAGTAGATTTGAGCAGTTCATTTTAGTTCAATTCTATACTAAAGCAGTCTCATCTTTAAGATGTGAATATGATCAGAGAGTAAGAAAAATAAATAAAATGGTCATTGAGAGACAATACTCTTAAGAAGGAATCAAGGTGTTTAGCCATGTGGTGTTCTCTTTGCAAACCAGGAGTTTTTACCCTAAGGATCTATGTAGGATAGCCTCTAACAGAGAATAAATGACAGGCCACATATTTACCCAATATTGTCTGAGGCCCTCCTGGATGGGGTGTGCTTTTAGGTTTGGGACGAGGACGGCGGGCTTTTTTTGTTGTTGAAGCTGATGGAAGAGAATTTAGGATTAACATGGTGCTGATGAGTCTGTAACCTATGCCTAGGATGAGGTACACTGCCTAAGCTAAAAACAAAACAAAAAAACTTTAATAGTTTGAGCTCAGAAATCCTGTCACTAGATGGAAGGGGAGGAGGACTCCCCCTTCCAGTGGACTAGGGAAAAGGGATAAGGGAAAGAAGGAGGGAGGGAGAGAAGGAGGGAGGGAGGAACCAGGTAGAGATGAGGGAGGCTGTTACAATCAGGACATAAAATGAATTAATTATAAAAAAATAAAAAAAATTAAAAAAAGAAAAAAGAATAAAAAAGAAATCCTCTCACTAGGGTTTGTAATTTTTCCTATAGTATATTAACAGATTTCTTTAATAAAATAATAGGTATAATTACATTCAATAAATGTAAGTTAGGAATGAACCCTATTTTCTTGAACATGTCTCTAACTCCAAAATGGTTGTCAACCCATATTCAACTCTAGTGGTGTGAATTCAGAACCTACTACCTAGGGATGCTTTCAATTTAACATGCCTGTGCCAGCAGAAGTTCTGCACTTGATGACTTACTAGAGTGTTTTAAAAGTCATTGAAACAACAGCAGAGCCAAAAAAATAATTATGCAGAACTTGAAATAAAGAAAGCAAACTTCTCAGATCAGTTTTGCTGTGCCATCACCGATGCTATATTAGAAGCCTAAAGGAGAGCCAGGTGCCATAACTACTCAAAGAGACTCAGTTTGATGTGACACAATTTCAAGGCAGGCAGAGCCTGGATCAGATAGCTGTCTTGAATCAAGTCATGGTACCTTTCTGCTAAAGAGTAAGAAAACTTCAATACTCTGAGATGAGTCCTTTAACAGGGTGCCACCAGGGGATGCCACCATCATCTACTAAGCAGCCATGGCAGAGGTCAACAGTGAACAGAAATAATTACCTAAAGATGGCTCAGGAGTGAAAGGTCCCAAGTCTGCTGCGAGAAATGATCAAAGCAATTTAAAACAAGGAAATGTTAAACACATCAGAAAGTCTCATCCAATTCTCCCAAACATGAACTTTACCAGACTGCCAGTGGTTATATAGTAAAAAAAACAACAACAATACCAAAAACTTAAATGTTTCAGTTTAAGAGTCTACAGATGTTTATACATGACTTTATCCTTAGCATTCATACCTAGTCAATGGCAATTTTGCTTGTTTATCTACAGAATTAGCTATAAGTTTTGATTGCTTTTATGTTAGCAAATAATGTGATAGAAAACTCTGCTTAGAAAAATGTTTTGCATGTAATGACATCATGTTTAACAATTATGAGAAACTAATGTGAAAGCATAGTTTGAAAGCCTTTATGTTGGAAAACAAATCCCAGAGTCATGGTAAATATGATTGGTACATTTAGGCAGAGACAGTGAATGATAACTAAAGGAGACAATGCTTGATTTTGTTGAGAGTCTACTTTGAGAAAAGATGAAGACCTACATTTGAGCAAAAGCAAGAAAGAGCTTCAGTGCTCGGTGTGTGTGTGTGTGTGTGTGTGTGTGTGTGTGTGTCAGTAGTCCCTGGAACTTGTTACTACATCTCTTCACTATCAACAAAGAAAAGTCCTGGCTCTAGGGTTCAGAACAGTCACTGAAGTTGGGCACCTGTGATCTTCTTTGTAGACTTTCCAAAAACTATATCATTGTTCAACCTAAGCAAATATCGCCCTTCTCACTCAGATTACACTCCTAGTTCCTAACTTTCTATTGTGACCCTCCCTTCCCCCAATACAAGGCACCCTTCTCTCCATTTGTAGGATTCAGACCCATTGTTGCTGGTCAGTCTATAATGGCTTAAAGTCTCCAGTCCACATAACACATATTAGCTCACATATGCATTTTTTTTTTTACTGAAAGATTCATTATGTGCTTAACCATTCTTTTGAATGGTGACCTGCTCCTGCTCCTATTCTTTATTTCAATTCATGATGCCTGAGTAAGAGTTGTTTCTTTGCTTAATTAAGCCACCCATTACCTCTAATACATAGCCCACAATGCTAAAGTAGCATTTCTTAAAGTGTCTGACTCTTGAATCAAATACACTAAATAGATAATAATAAATAATTAACTGTCAGTGGAAAACATATAAAATTCTCAGGTTTCAAGGAATTCCTCATGAACACAGTGGCTGGTTCTTTGATCACCTCCCCCTGAGGGAGGGGTGGGGTGCAGCCTTACCAGGCCACAGAGGAAGATGATGCAGCCAGCCTTGATGAGACCTGACAGGCTAAGGTCACATATAAGGGGGAGAAGGTCCTCCCCTATCAGGGGACTAGGGAAAGGCCATAGGGGGAGAAGAAAGAGGGTGGGTGAGACTGGGAGGATATGAGGGAGGGGGCTGCAGCAGGGATACAAAGTGAATAAATTGTAATAAATAAATAATATAAACAAAATTAAATTTAAAAATAAAAAAGTAGCATGAGACAGTCACAGGGATTGGCCAGAGCATCACGCTAGTGGCAGCTGCTTCCGATGACTTAGCCTTCACGCTTAACGACAAGGGTAACTAACACCTCAGTCACATCCAGTGAAGAGCTACATGAGCCGAGAACCACCTTTACCTGGTTTAGTCTGAGGTGTCTTTGGGCTGGGGGTAGCTTTATGTTTGGGACGTGGACGACGAGTTACTGGTCGTGGCCCTTTTGGAGCTGGAGAAAGCAAAGTGGTTACTGTGGTTGTGTGACTTCAGAACTAAAGAAAGATGAACGTGTGAATGTAAGGTTTCTAAGACTTCTCCGGACTCTCTCTCAAGTCTGGAGAAAAAAAAATTGTCTCTTCGGAGTTATTTTTTAGTATTTTAGTTATATATATATAACTATTTTGGGTCTGGAGTTTGGGTCTGGAGAGAGAGAGAGAGAGAGAGGCAATATGACATTGCTTTTGTTTTTCTGAAACCTTTATTGTTAGTTGCCAGCATCAAAGACTTTCTAGACCCAAAGGGAGTCAGATTCATGATGCGTTGATATCACATCAGAGAGGCTTGGGCTAACCTGATTTTGGATAGCTGTCCTTAAAGACTCAGTTTATGGCCACACCATTAAAATTAATGGTTCTAAATGTATATCATACCTTCTAAAATTATTTGCATACAATGAAAGTTTTTCATATCTTCGAAGTAAAAAGAACTTAAAGTCCTCTAAGCATTGGTATAGAGATTGATTCTCCCTCTTGTTTGGAGAATCAAAGCATGAAGCTGGATTGAAATGCATCAGGGATCAGCATCCAAGTTAACTATACAGCAGTGATGGAAGAATCTGGGACAAGATGATGAAGACATTGTTAGAACTTTTCACATGATGAATTTCTCAGCAGAAAGGTCCACTTGCATTTGAATATTGTGGAATCAAGGAAGGAAGGATTGAAGGGTCATCACACAAACTCCAACCTGCAATTTGTTCCCATAAGCAGGAAGAGGCTTCCGAAAGTTCCTGCTTTGAAAGACGGGTGGCTGTATCTGGCTTTTGGCAGTATCAAGTGCTGCAAGCAATCTATTTGACTCTGATGGTCAAAGGAAATATAACGGCCAAGTGCTATTTAAGCTGAGAAGATGCAAGAAGGCCTAGCACAATGTTCAAATGGCCTCTCCCAAAAATAGCAAATAATTTCTAGAAACAAATATTTTTTTTAAAAAAGTTTGAATGATGATTAAACTGAACATACAAATGATGAGAGAGAGAAGAGATCTCAAAGGAAGTATGAGTAAAGAAGGCTTTGTTACCTATGGCCAGAGAAGGGGCTTTGGTTCCAAATGTAACTGGCTCAGAGGCTGCATCATCAAACATAAAAAAATAGGTGAAGAAAGCACAACCTTAAGTACTCATAACACTTAATTCAGAGATTTGGGAGCACAGGTTGATGTAGACTGCTTTCCTGATGGGCTTATTTAAAATGAGAAGATCTCTTAGTAAATGAGAGTTTTATACTAATTAGAATCTTAGGAAAAACTTTCAGTTGTAAACAGAATTTTCAAAACTGTTATAAAAGTTTTTTTTCTTTAATGTGGTAGAAAACCACCCACTTACTAATTACCATTTAAAATATCAACAGGCATCAGGCATCTCAGGCAAGCCTTTCTTCAATTGTGCCTATTAAGGAGGAACATATGTCTCCTCTTGTGTGTACTATCTGAACATAGCTAGCAAAATCACATTAAATTGCCCCAGGTACAGAAAAAAAAAATCTAACTTCTATTCCTTATAAGCTCAGAAAAGCCTGAAAATGCTTTTACAAAACATGGAATTTATAAGACTGTCAGATATAAAACGTTCTTATTTCATGTCTAGTGTGAATACCTTCAGAACATGAAGAACAAAACGATAATGCTCTGTTCTATAATTAGTCGAATATATAAACCCTTTCCATGGGATTCCCAATGACAAAAATGTGTTAAGCTAGGACAATTGGGATTGTGTTTACCGGCTTTAGTTGGTGGCATGTCAGGTGTGGCTTTGGGTTTAGGAAGCAATTGCTTTGGTGGTTTTAATTCTGAAGAAAAAAAGGTACACTGCAATTAGTGTCACAGCTAAGCTATGGATGTGGAAATCAATGTTACTTGTTTACTCTTTTCCCATTTCCATGCTAAGGCATTGAAAGTGGTAATTACCAGGCTGGATTTGGGGTACCTCTGGCCTGCGTGTATCTGTAGGCCTCTGGGGTGGTTTGGGAACTAGAAGAAAAGGTATTAAAATTAGCATAATAGTCATGGTAGTGGCTGTCAAAATTAAGGATATATAAGATGAGAAACACTCTGTGTAGAAACAATGCATGGAAGAACAATCTTAAGAAAATGCTTAAAATGTGTCTTTGAATAAGAGTACTATCATACAACTTATATTTAAGAAGGACTAAGTGTATCAGTTTCAATGCTTTGCTAATAGCTTTCAATTGGTACAAAACAGAAAGATAAAGAATTTTAAAGTTGCCCAAGAAGAAACCTGGAAAATTACCCACAAACATCTGCTATTAACGCAGAAATGATGACACATGGCTACTGATTTGCAGAATTTCTTAAAATGATGAGAGACAAACTGAACTCAGAGAAGTTACAATGAAACAATTACAATCACGATATTACCACTAAAATAATAGAAATCATCTTGGAACTTTTACTTATTGTGAGTTGCAAAGACAACCACCAGTTTTATAATGGACCAAGGACTATAATCAGTCTATGGTATCCAAACATACTAAAAAACTTCTCCAATAGAAATGTGTAAGAAGTGGAAAATAGTAAGAGCTGGAGAGGACAGGAACTCCACAAGGAGAGCAACAGAACCAGAAAATTTGAACACAGGGAACTTCCCAGAGACTCATACTCCAACCAAGGACTATTCATGGAGATAATCTAGAACCCCTTCACAGATGTAGCCCATGGCAGTTCAGTGTCCAAGTGGGTTACCTAGTAATGGGAAGAGGGACTGCCTCTGACATAATCTGATTGGCCTGTTCTTTGATCACCTCCCCCTGAGGGGGGAGAAGCCTTACCAGGCCACAGAAGAGGACAATGCAGCCACTTTTGATGAGAACTGATAGACTAAGATCAGAAAGGAGAGGAGAACCTCCCCTATCAGTGGACTTGGGGAGGGGCATGCATGCAGAAAGGGGAGGGAGGGTGGGATTGGGAGGGGAGGAGGGAGGGGCTTATGGGGGGATACAAAATGAATAAAGTGTAATTAATAAAAAATAAAAAAAGTTAAAAAAAGAAATGTGTAGCTTTTCAGAGTCTTATACACTTGATGAGTAAAGTAATTGTAGCCTTGAAACTGGAAAAATGTATGCCACTTGTTTAGTTCAGAATGACTACAGACATCTGTGAGGAAGAACAGATGGCTCTCTGAACATCAGGACATGCGGCCGAAGGACAGAGGTTCAGCAGAGAACCGGGAAGCTGTGCCCAGGACCACAGACCTTCCCAATACGAATATAGCAAATTTCACTGGAAGATTCTCCAGTCTTCAGGTTCTTCCCACTCACACAGGAAATGAAAGGAAAGCATGGCTGATAGTGTGATAGATTGACCCAGTCATGCCTGTGTTGGAGATCATGAAAAGAAAAAGAAAGCAATAGAGGATGCAGAATGACCAGTTGTCATACAGTGGCATGTTCCAGAGCTAGTGAAGCAAAGCACCAGGGACATGAAATTTTATCAGGGGGTGATATCCTAAGGAAGGTGACATTGTGCCTGAAGGCAGAAGCTATACACAAAGTGTATGTGTGTATTTCTGAATGAAATTTTCTTTTTTCTTTCCTCCCATTTATTTCCTCTGTCTTTCCCATACCTCAGCTGTCAGACTCTAAGGATTCTTGCTTTAATAGTCCACTTAGAGGGCCAGCTTTTCGCACTGCACACTTACTAATCACAAATAAAGGATGCATCATATATAAAATGAATGTAGAGAATGAGTATACAGACGCTCAATATACAAATCAACCATATTGTTTCCTAAAGCCCAGCTGTTTGGGGTTGGGGAAGAGTAACAAACCAGGAGCCACAACATTGCATCTATGGTAATGAGAACCCTAAATGTCACATTTACCAGGTTTGGACTCCCGTACTTCTGGACCACGTGTGGATTTAGGACGGGGGCGGTGGTGACCTGGTCGTTTGGTCTTTTTTGGAGCTAAAGAAAGAAATTTTTCAGTTAGCAGAGAAAAGGTAGTAGTGCTACAAACAGAGGAAATATTACTTGTAGTTTAGTCATGTATTTAAGCTTTTTGATTCAATCTGGACACATTCTGTTTTGCCAGTTTCTATCATCATCCGGTCATACAAAATGTAGTTTAGTTTGGGCTTTTTTGGTGCTGTTTTGTTCTCTCTCTCTCCCCTCTCGCTTTCTTGCTCTCTCCTCTCTTCCTTCCTCCTTCCCTTTTTTTTTTTAAACTTTTTGGTTAAAGATGTATAAATTAGTCAAGAGATCTCCATATTCTTTCACTTTGAGATAGACTTTGAAAATTTCAAAATTAGTGTATAGTTTAAAGGAGATGGTAACATAAAAGTTTTGAAGCTATATCAGGAGGAACACGAGAAAGACTATTCTTTAGAAGTTTTAATTTTAATTAAAATTAAAGCTTCTTTAGCTTTATTAAGTTAAATTCTAATTCTTAGTGTTTCTGAAAAACAGTGCACCCTTGCCAGGGCACAGAAGAAGATGATGTAGCCAGTCCTGTTGAGACCTGATAGACTAGGGTCAGATAGAAGGGGAGGAGGGCCTCCCCTATCAGTGGACTAGGGGAGAGACATGGGAAGAGGGAGGGAGAGTGGGACTGGGAGGAGACAGGAGAGGGGCCTACAGCTGGGATACAAAGTGAATAAATTGTAATAACTAATAATTTTTTTAAAGTAAAAAAAAAACTAAAATTAAAATTTGGCTTAATATTTCAAAGCAGCAGATTGTTTTCTACTCAGCATTAGAGACATCCACATGTAAACAATAGACAAAAAAAGAAAAACCTTTGAATTTAGAAATTATATCAAGGGAAACATTTTTAAATGAGACATATTTATAGACTAGAGGTATAAGATTTAAATTTTTTAGTAATAACCAAGAACACAGACAAATGGATACTAGTGTATTATTACTATAGGAATATAAATCTGCCAATAATGACACCATGCTATTAGGAAAAGAAGAAAGGAGTCACCCACTTAGTAACTGAATGACCAACTCATGTTATTACTGACCCTTTCTCAGGGCTCTGGGTCCTGAAACCACATGCAAACTCATTAAGGAGGAAATTAAGTCAGAGGAAAAACCAATGTAAAATTGACTTAAATGTGGGATATACTAAATTTTTAACTACTAGCTTGAGCAAATTATAAGTGATGAAATTTTTACCCACACGAGATGCAACCTTTTCTACTGAAATCAATTCCTGTGGTTTTTAGACAAAATGAATAAAAATGTAGCCAGCTAAAGTTTGGAGAAAGGAATGGAAAAAGGGCAAAGACATGGGCCTTTGGAGGCTGTGGTGGAATACACTAACCAGGAGCTTTGGTTGTGAAGGAAAATGTGGGTAATTGGCTAGGATGGCTAATGACAGGTTTTGTTTTGTTTTTTTTTCCTTCGGTTGGTTTGGTTTTCTTTTTTAAAGAAAAAAGCTATAATGGTTAGCTTTGTTGTGATTTTCTCTTTTTTCTTGCCCTCCCCCCACCTTTTAATGGATTATCTGGTGACACATCAGAGTTTTCAGATCTGGAATGATCATCTCGCTTTTCAAGAAAGTCTGCAGATGTTAGAGTTTTGAAAAGTGAGAAAAAAAAAATCTCCCAAAGGGAAGCACAGTTATGCCCGGGGAAGCCAGCAGTCTCCACTGGAAATAACAGGTTAGAAGCAGCTAAGGAAAATCTCCCTGAATATATCACATCCAAGTCAGTGTGACTCCCATGGGTGTCCCAGAGCCTCTGTTCAGCCAAGCCCAGGCACAGGGCAGATATTCTTGCAAAAACAGCTGTAAAAGAATCTGAAGGACAATTAAGTATTTTTAAAGTAAACCAAATCGAAGGACAAAAGTTGAACCCAGAAAGTGATACAGGCCATTCCTCCACTGTGATGCAAAAAAGCAGCTTTACCCTTTGTTGACTGTGCAGATGGCCGAATCTCCAGGTCTGGGGCTGCAATGAGAGCAAGTAACGTCAAGGCAGTGCTGAAGGTTCACCGAAGGCAGCAACTAAACACTCTTTCCCACAAGACATGTTCACTCCTTGATGACTCTTCCAGCCTAGGATACTGATTGAGGCTTCTTCGCCTCAGATCCATCGTATAAACCACAGTGAAGGAGTTAAGAGTTCTCACTGTGCTTCTGATCTTTGCTCTCACTACCAGTGTCTGATGGCTGTCTCAAAGGCTTTCCTAGGAAGTGAGAAGAAGGCAACACACCATCTCCCATGCCTGTGTTCTGTTAGTTTTGATTGGTAGCCAGCTTGACTGGACCTCATGTTCTTTCACAAAAGATTAAAAAAACTTGAATGTAAAAAGGGTCGCAATTGTCCCTATAGTACTCCCTGTGGTTATGAGTACATACTGTTTGTAAACAAAATCCATTTGGTTTGCAAACCAGTAAGTGTCCAAGTGTCGTCTCAGGATTCATGAACTGCTTAATAACTTAAACAACATGATAAATACCAACTCATCCCCCATGGTCAAATGAGACATGAACAAACTATAGTATTTCATGCTGACTGTAGTTTGGTTACATCTATTTATGTTTGGGAGGAAAAGAACAACAGGATCTTTCTAGGGGTTTTTGTCTTATTCTGCTCAAAAAAAAATTCTTTCAAGAAGATAATTATAATCAGCTGTACTTTTCAAGCACAGGAAAAAGTGAAAACTTTTTTATTTCTTATAGAAAAGAATTAATTGATTTGGTACTCACTGGCTTTCAGAAGACTGTAAAAGAGCTCAGAGAGTACCTTGTTTAGAGTTAACTCTGATCATTCTGAACGAGAGACAGTGGCAGGTTTTGAAGAAACAAGAGGTGTCTGGGGGCTGGGGGGAAGTGACAACAGAAGTTTTCATATAGTAACTTTCTAGGAACTAAATGACTTTGCTTTTATAACTCCAAAAAGAAAATATAGCAATTCAGAGCCAAGTATGATACCGCATTGCGGAGTAACGCAGGAGGGTGACCGTTCTCACTGAATCAGACAGATGACTTAGGAGAGAGGAGACGGCTCTGGTTTTTCAGAAATGTGCTGGGTTATGCACATAAAACAAGTAAAAAACAAATGTGGAGCTTCACTGACTAACTCAACCATCAAGGAAAAGCATCTCACATGGAAAGTGAAATGGAAAAGCAGGCATTTGAGGAGAGCTGGGAAAGGCAGGGGATTCTCCACACTGAGAAGTTCTTAGTGGTTTACATGGTCTTGTGAACCCCAGCTAAAAACAGCAACCTTCTCCAGAGCTCAAATAACACCAAGTCTGTGGCTAAGGAAATGCTTTGCGGGGACCTGGCCCATACTCTCTGCTGTCTTAGGCCACTCAATGTCCCTTTATTATGAGGTTAGTGTTAACCACTTCAAGCAGTAATCCTGACTGTGAGCTGGAAAGAGTGAGGACGCCAGGATATGAGAAAGTTTAGAAATCAAAGGGACAAAACCACACATGCTTACAAGTAAAAGTCCCTGCAAAAATATTTTCAAATGTCCAATTAAGAAGTATCTATTCAGCCAGGTGTGGTGGCACATGCCTGTCACACCAGCATTCCTGATTGCTGTGAGTTCAAGGCCCACCTAGCCTACAGAGTCCAGGACAGTCAAGGCTATACAAGAGAAACCCTGTCTAGAAAAACAAACAAACAAACAAACAAAAAACAAAAACAAAATGACAAAAAAATCTATTCAAAACTTTTGAAGAGTAACAAAACTCCTCCTAATTTAACATCTTAAATTCATTTCTAAAATTGTGAGTTATGTATAAATGTCAAACAATATTTATAGCAGCTTCTGATGCTTTTCAACTTTATCTTGAAATTGACAGACATGATTACTTAGGAAAAGTAATTTGCTAACGAAAACACACAGCGCTTTTCTCCATCTGCTGGCTAATGGCCCCACTCAGAACGCAGCATGAATATAACAGTCACTTTCTCATTCCAAGCCTCTCTGAGGATGATTTTTAAAAACTCAAATACATTAATCTCTCCCCACTACAACTACTACAGCTATCAGAGTTCTTCATTTAAACTGCTAGGACACTTGATTTTTATACACTGTGCCTCTTCACTTGGCCACCTCAACCAGGGTCACTTACACACTTGTCCAAGCCTCTGTTTCAGTGGTTCTCAACCTTCTTAATGCCTTTAATAGACTTCCTCATGTTGTGGTGATCCTCAACCATAAGAATATTTTTGTTGCTACTTCAGAACTGTAATGTTGCTATGGTTATGAATCGTGATTTACAATGGTCTTGGGTGACCCCTGTGAAAGTGTTTTTAGACCTCTGAAAGGGTCCTGGGCTCAGAGGTAAAGAATCACTATTCTAGTTCCTTCAGTCCGACACCTCTGTCTGGAGACACAGCCATCTTTTCAAAGGGTGCTACACAAATTCTTTTTCTTAGCAGTTGCTTCTGTTGCCCTACGCCATCATGAAAATAAATCATGATCACTTAAGTAGAAAACCTCTCGGTTTAATATCTCCACTGTGTAAACACGCCAATGGTGGAAATGCGAGTTGAGAATCCTTTACACAGCAGAGTGTGGAATGCATTCCCCCGAGAGCTAAAGGTTTCAGATTTATATGGCAATGACAGTAAGAACCGCCACAGTTCCCCACAGCTAATTTTATAAGTCAATATTCAAGACCGCTGTGTAAGTTCCAGAAAAACTTTTAAAGGTGAATATTGGATCATTCAATATGCTCCACAATCCTTCCAAAGTGGACCACTTCACTTTTCGGGAAACATAGAGAAGTTTACTTTTCTACCAAAGAGCCTTCTCATCTTTAAAAAAAACACCACAAAATCTCCTGAGAAGTAAACAGCAGTCAGAGTGCAAAAATCACCCTCAACTAAGAAGGCTTGGCACATTAAAGAAACAGCTCTTTCTGATCTTGCAACCCAAGAACTGAGGAACTCCAAACAAGTGGGGGTCTTAGAAGAAGGGAGCCACTCCCGCCTGCTCTGCCAGCTGAAAGCCTGTGATTCAGTGCACCAGAATTCCAATCAACTTTGGTACTGGAAAGTATTTTGTAATACAGACAAGGGACCCTCACTCACTCCCATGGCTTATTTCTGTGTTCTCTGTGTGACAGTCATGAACATAATGATCCGCCACAAACATCAGAGTAACACTATGATAATACCAAAGGGTCTGGCTGTGCTGAGATCATCTGGTTGTGTTTTCACGCTTTCCATGGAAAGATTGCATCAGATACTAACATATAAATCAGAACTTCTTGAACCAAAAAAATTTACATAAATCAATTTGTCGGTATTATTTTTAGAGCACCACAAATGAGGATCAGAGAAATTATCATACTGGGTACCACTTCTAGACTAGGAGATATTGAAGTTTCAGGAAGCTAGTTGTGTTTTACTGAGTTAAAAATAAACAAAATACTTGACAAGTTTCAATTTTGGAATAAAAAAAACCACAAAAGAAGAATCTAATACTAAAACTAATTAAGTGGCCCGAATCTATCATCTTGGAAGATTTGGAAACATTCCATTAAAAGAATATTTCACACTCTAGGAACAGAAAGCCACTTATGGAAGAGAGCTTTGCACTTTCAGGTAACTACTCAAGATTAATTTTAATCTACACTTTTAAGTCAGTCTAATTATTTTTCACTCTTACTTCATATTTATTAGGTAATGGGGGAAAGTTGTGCTGTTAGTAACCTATGATTGACAGGAATAATGCTATGATTTGAAACACCACAAAGAAAATCCAATAACACCAGAAGAGTTACTTTTTCAAAGAACTCCCAAGTTGATCCTGAGGATGTTTTTCCATAAATCCTCAAGAACTGTGTGTGTGTGTGTGTGTGTGTGTGTGTGTGTGTGTGTGTGTGTGTGAGTGATCTAGCAACAAACAGCAGCCTCGTCTTACCAAGTGCTGGCCCTAGAAAACATCCGAATCTGAGTTCAGATCTCTTAACTCAGGGGCCAGCTACTCACAGCCAAAATAGCCATAGAACTCACGCAGTCTCTGAGATACCTAGCATTTTCCAATGAGCAATTAGAACAAACAGCTACTGACAGGTTACAATAGAGCCAGAGCTCTGCATCCCCTGTGGCAAGATGAAGTAACACATACAGTCTCGAGAAGCTTCAGGACATTTAGAAATTTCGGAGCATTTGTCCTGGGACGTGTAATTCTTTCTGGTGATGGGAAGGGGAAAGTTAACTTAATATGGAGATAGTAAAATGTCCTCCAAGAAGGAACAGAGCGACCTTTCAAAATCCTGCCATATTTAGTAGTCGCTCTTAAGGTATGCACTGAGCAAAATACGAAGGAAAGAATTTCTAAACCATCACAAAAAAATGTAAGTTGGAAAACAATTGTTATATTACAAATGTAGGTGGAGTAAGTGGGTTTGCTGAGCAAGTATCTGAGTACACTATAAGGCAATGCAAACCATCACCCCAAAGTTGATAAATTACTCAAACCCCCTCAGGTTGTGATAGATGTTTTTTCCCTTCTTTTTTCCTCCACCTGACTACTACATATTTTAAGGCTCATCACTTCAACTCAATCTTTCTTGGAGCTTCCACACAAGTACTACAGACTTAAGTTTTATAGTTTTTATATAAATACATGCTTTATTTTCATCATTATTCTCAGTGTTATGAGAAACCTGAAGACCAAAATCACATCCTCTTTTCATCAGCATGCCTTATGGTAATGTTTCTCAACATTCCTAAAGCTGCAACTTTTTGTGATAGTCCGCAACCATAAAATTCTTTGCTGCTACTTCACAACTGTATTTTTGATATTGTTATCAACTGTAATATAAACATCTGTGTTTTCTGATGGTCTTAGGTGACCCCTGTAAAAAAGATAATTTGACTCCCATGGGGTCACTACCCACAGGTTGAGAACCACTGCCCTAGGGCAAAATGAGAGTGTGGTAGACACTGGTCTATCAGACTCTTCGGTGCAGATACACTTCCAGAATGGGGTAGTTATTTCCTGCTGTGAGCTCTGGTGGCAGGACCTGTTCCTCAGCTTACCCCCAAATCCAGAACATTTTACTGGGGACCCCTGTTTTCTTTTTGTATTACCATTAGATATTTTTAAATTTTGTAAAAACAAACAAACAAAATTTCCTACAAAATATAATTTTCTTTTTACTATAAGGAGATGAGAATGATCTATTTGGATTTAAGTGAACTGAATAGTTGAAGAGACATTCATTTACCAGGCTTGACTTTGGGTCTGGGTTGTCGTTTGGGTGTGGAAGGGATAGACGTAGTTTGCTGGGGAGCTGAAAGAAAAATTAGTACATCTTTGATAAGTGATATTTCTTAATGATCAGCCATATCACGCCTGAAAACATAAACACACAACCCTACTGAATGCAGGAACGACTGCATAGTTCTCCTTATCCCCTTAGCTGCTCGTGCTGAGCTTTCTACAGAGCACATGCTCAATAAGCTTACCTATATACTGGTCCCCCAAAGACTTACATTTCTATAAAGGAAAGATTAAATTTCTACTTGAGGAAAAATACTATTCAAATAAATTCACTGGAAACCGAGCTTGCTGGAGGTCTTTAGATTGTAAGATAAAGTAAGCACTCAAAGAATAATATTGACATCAACATTAGCAGGAGGGAAGGCGCACAGTAGGGTATTTTGGATTTATAGAACAGGGATGTTCAGAACATCTTTATCTTGCAGCTCTTAAATACCTTCACTAGACACTAATAAACTCTATTGTTTAAGTAATTTTCTTTATATTATATTCTTATATTATATATAAAACACAAGCTCTTTCACACATCTTTTTTTTAAAGCATATCCAGGACTGCAGGACTACTCGATACTCTTTTTGAACTATCATGGATTAAATACTATTACTGTGTTCAACAGAAAGGAACATACTTAAAATAATTGTCACCTATGTTTCTGCTACACTATTATGGTTGACCAAAGTTTAAAGCAATCAAGTAAACTACTTTTCCAAATATATAGGAATCAAGATTGTACAAATTCCTTGAGGTTTATCATGAGGCTAACTATAGAAAACAGCTTTTGAGGAGTCCCATGGTAGAGAAAGAAGGAAAGCATTCAAAGGTTGATGTGACTGGTTCTTTTCTGTCACTTTAGTTGGCCTTTCAAAGCATGCAACTACACAAATAACATTGGTTACCAGCTGTTGTAGGCCGCACTTCAGGACTGGTGAAGATTTCCACACCTTGTGAATCAAATGATGCTTGGCTTGGAGCTAGAAACACAAACGCCCCATCCCCCCAAGCGATCTCAGTTAAAATGAGGTATTTTAGGAATTTCAACATGCTTTCAGATGGCATAATGTGCATGCTACAAGGATAAAAAGCGATGCACGTTGTCCTGCAGCTGATGGATGACACTGTAAAGCAGGGGGGAAGCCCGAATGATCACGGCTCAGTCCAGGCAGACCTTGTCCGTGAAAATGAGCTAACGCAAGCCATAAGCACACAGCAAGAGATGATGCAGGAGACAAAGATGCCCATGCAGTTTCCGAAAGTTTTCACAACTTTAAGATTGGAAATCTTTTTTTTTTTTTGTTATTCATTTAGTATGAGATACATAAAAGATGTCTTATAAAATATATCATTAATCTGTGTTCAGAAATAGAAAAGATGTAAATGATTAGATGAAATGGTCATTTTTGGAAGAAAGGCATCCCCATGGGTTATGGAACTTTTAATGGAAAACAAAGCACAAAGTCTCTGTTAAAAACATTACCCAGTGTTGCCCTTGGCTGTTCAGGAGTTCTAGATGTTTTAGGTGGGACAGAGTCCAGAATAGGATCACTTGTTGCTGTTGGAATAAATGTCAACATTTATAAAGGCAATAGAAGTTCCTAGGGATAAAATACAAACTCATGAGTAAGAAGTAATGTCTCATAAAAGAAAAATGTCAAAGACAATTGAGGGCCTGCAAGCTTATATTTAAGCCAGTGATTCAATAGGAATTGAAGACAGCCTCACTCTGCAAAACATATATCACTGAAATACCAAAACTCACAATAAAACAGCTTTGCACATTCGACTTATTTTCAATTGCTTTTTTTCTAGTTTCTTTCCATGTTTCATAATTGCTAATGGAACCTACTATGAGGATTCAGTTTTATTACTTTTCTTATTTTCTACTATTTAAAATTCTTTATCTTTGCTTACCTTATGAATAATGCTGAGATAATACTACACATACCAAAAAGAAGAAGAAGAAGAAGAAGAAGAAGAAGAAGAAGAAGAAGAAGAA